ACAAAATTAATTTCAGTATCATCATCAATTGAATTTGCAATACTCCATTATGGTCTTAAATTAAATATTCCTTTTATCATCATATGATTATTGCCTCTACCTACAAACAATTTATAATATTTTTAATGTAATGCTGGAATTACTTGAATACCATTACAAAAATTAATTAGTTAATTGATTTCCTAATAACTTGGATTCTATATAAATTTAGTAAATCCAATATCCCAAAATCTAGTATCATCAATAACTATTTTTTTGGCTTTGCAAATAGGAACTTGTATTTTCTTTCTTTCATTATCTTTAGATGGTGGACTTCTTGTTTTATCTTTTCTAATCAAAAGTGGAACTAATTTCTCTTGTTATTTAGGAGTTTGTTCCTTTTAAATTTATTGAACTTGAACTTATTTCACTTAAATTAATTAACCTTTTAATTATTCTAATTCATATTCCTTTTAAGCCACTGATTAACATCTCTATGATCTTTTATAATACTTTTTCCTTTATAATATTCTTTGAAACGTTAAATTGTCATTTGCTTATTTAGTTTTTCTCATTAATTCCTCTAAAAGTGATTGATTTCTACTCTTTCTATTTTATAATTCATATATTTATGATAATATATCATAAGTGGTTTAATTTTTTTATGTATTTTTTTGCAATGGTGTAAATAATTATGTCTCTGTAATCTTCAGTTATGATTTATTGGGCGTTTCAGTTTCATTATCTGTAATATTTGGTTTACATTGACTTTCTATTTATTGAAAACTTCCATTTTTCCTCATTGATGATAAAAACTATTTAATTCCTGACTCAGCACTTCCCTGAGTGTTAGAAATATATCCTTAACATACTTAATTGGACCCCATCTATTTTTCCCATAACTCTTATCTTCTTTTATGAATTGAATTATTATCCAAAGATTTCCCAATCAATTCATGATCTTTTGGTGGAACTCTAACTCTCATTAATAATTTTAATAATATAAAATGATGATATAATATATTTAATATATTACTAAATTTAATTATTAAAAAGTCTTACAATTTTAAAAATTGTCCTTAAATGTATGCTAAAGATTATTTATTTAATTGAATCAATTAATAATAGAGTCCAAATAAATAATCAAAATAAGTGATTTTCATTTTTTATGATAAAATGACTTTTAAGCATATATTTTAATCCTAAATTATAAATAAAAATATTTGAGGATTAAAATCTATAATAAGAATATATTATAATTAACTTATAGAAACAATATAAGAATGTGATTTCAATAATTTAATACTTTTTAATATTTTAATATATTTGGAGCAATGCAAAAACAATGAAATAGATTGTTTATTAATTAAAATATAATAAGTGTTTGAGAATGAAAAGAATTGGCAATTGTAATAATATATATTGATTGAAGGGATCTCAAAAATGGATATATTCGGATAATCTATAACATTAAGAATGAATAGATAAAGCTCATACAAAACTGTTTTCGGAGGATGTTCCTCTTTAATTCTGTTAATGATTTTAATTTTGATATTCTCATCAAATATAACATCCTTTTTCAACAAAGAAAGTTTAAGTGCAACAGTTTTAACTGAATTTGAAGAAATTCCATCATTATCAATAATAGATGACTCATTTTTTTTATTTGCTGTTTAAATAGATTAAGATAACTTTTTATCTAAACCTTTTTATGACATTAAAATAGATTAGTATCATATTCAAAAATTTTTGAATGGATCAGTAATTTAGAAAGAATCAGAAATCAAATTAATACCTTGTACTATAGATCGTTTTAATAAAATATTCTCTAAATTTGGACGAGATATGACAGACTAATTCAATCAATTTAAATTATATGATTTTTTATGCTTTGAGTAAGTGTTTTTTTAACTATATTTATAGTTATAACCAGTCATTTTCAATTTAAGGAACGTATTCAAGTATATAAAATATATATTAATTGTTTAGATTTAGAATTTGAATTTTTGAAAATACAAGTGCAAACTTGTTCCAATAAAACAAATTGTGCTTCAAATGAAGAATTATAATAAGAAATCAATAAAAATGGAGCATTTAAAATTAAATTATTTCCAATAAATAAAGTAAATTATATTATGATTTAGATTCTGAATCCCTATAAACCAGAAGATAATTATTTGTAAACATTTTTAGATGATTCATTCTTTTTCAGATTTCTTCCATCAAATATTTATAAATCTGTAGATTTATTTATCAAAGAATATGAAGTCACTAATGATCAAAGTCTATTTCCGTTTAGTTATTTAGAATATTCTTAATTTTATACATTAGATCAATCAGAAATTAAAGAAAGAACAGAAATATAAAATACTTAAGTTTAATCATTTGTATAAATCTAAATAAGGAAGAGTCCTTATAAAATAAAAATATTTAGAAAATATTTGAAAATAGATGAATTATTATCTAATTTAGGAGGTATTTAATAAATCTTTATTTTTTTTATTGGAACAATCTTAACAATTTATAATAGATTTTAACGTATATAAATAATTTAATATTTTTATAGTTCTTGTTGAATTAGCTAATAAATTGTATGAATTTACTTTAGTATCTTTTTAAAAAGAAAAATATTATTAAGATAATTTAGATTTAGTGAATTAAATGATTTAGTATAAATAAGATAAAATGCCATAATAAGATAAACCACGGAATTCTGATGTAGATTTAGAGATTTAACCTTTACATTAAAGTACTATAAATTAAAAATCAAAAAATGAATTACTGAAATTTAGTGAATAAATGAGTCCATCATCATAATAACGGAATACATCAAAAAAATTAACAGAAAATAATATTAAAAAAAATAAATTTATTTATGAATAAGAAGCTATGGCATTTAAGTTAAATTGTTCAAATGGTTTAGAATATTTCTAATTACAAATTTAAAATTTAATTTAAAGATCATAACCAATTTTAATGACTTTTTAAATGTTAATAAATTTTTTGACTTGCTAAAAAGTATTTAGACATAAAAAACATATTTAATTGATGAATAAAGCTATGTAAATTATTTATTCATTCAATTAATTAGAGATCAAATTACTGAATAAATTGATTTATTCAATATATTAACAAAATTAAATGATTTAGAAAAACTTAAAGAAGTAATTTTCACATAGTAATAATTATTGATGTTTAATTTTGCTCCAAAACCTTTGATATCCTTAGATAATACAAAAGAAGTATTTAATAGGACAATAGTAGAAGAAAGAACTAGAAGCAATAACACTAAATAGTAAAGCTTATTATTAATTTTAGGGATGAAGCATCTTAAGAATTAGAATCATTAAATAAAATACATTACAATCTATAAGCAGATGCTAAAATGTATTCGAAAATATATTCGGTATTCATTATTAATTATTAAAAGGCTTATGATGATGTGTTATAAGAAGCGGAAAATGATCAAGACACATCTAATGGTAGTAATTTAAGTAAATAAATAATTCGAAAGTTGGGTGCTGAAGTATAAACTATCTTTAAATTATCGAAACTAATAGATTTTCATTAAAATTAAAACAATTCTAGAAGGAGAGGGATGACAGCAGATACTATAAGAAGAGCATTATATTCTAAAACAAATTTATAATAGTGATTATTTACTTATTCTTAAATGTTCTATAATAAAATTATGAAATATTATTGTTAAAAGAAGTAAAATAAATGTTTATTTGGTGTATTTATTATATTGTACTAAAATATTAATGCTCATCATTTTTTTGTTGTTTTCTTGGCTCCACCTCTTTTTGAGTAGAAGACATCATCTCTTCTGAATTCAAATTCTAATTCTCTTGTTGTTAATAATTTATAGACAGCTTTGATTGCATCAAGTCTTGGTTCAACCTCATTTTAATCTTATTCATCCAAAAAGCTAATTATGTATATTCAATAATACATTCTATAGAATTTAGTACCATCAACTCTAACTCTTGTTCTTCTTCCTAAAATTGTAGATGGTGCAACAAGATCATCAAGAAGTCCATCATAGACAGATGTGAGTGTTCTTGAATTTGGTCTTGTTTGTGATCTATGATTTTTAACCCATTTGCTTTCAATTGTTCTTTTTGCAACAACTAATATTGTTGCCTTCAATCTCTTCTCTAATTCTGGTAATAATTTTGAGCTAAGCAATTTACACAATTGGATACCTCACTTTATTATAGATTGATAAGCATGGATGAGGGATGAATACTAAATAAACTTGTTTCTTAGCATTGATCTTAGCTGTATAATCAACAACTGATGAAACCTTAAGATTCTTGGCTTCTGTGACTGATTGCTCGATTTAGGTCAATGCAACACCAACTTATTATTCCAAATTTGTTAACTCATTATTGAACATATACTCTTACTTCAGTTTTTTTCCAGAACTTATTTGCTGCCATTCCTGATAAAAATTTGATTTTTTATTTAAATCTTTTTATTAATTATTTAGGCACATTTTTATTAGTAATTCCTTATCATTTATAAATAACTAAATAAAATATGACTAATTCAATAGTCCCCATATAATTGTAATAATATATCTATTATTTTTAATATATTCATTAAATACATCCTATCATTCTTAAAACTATTTAATTTTCTAAATAATTTTAATTTATTCAATCATATATTTCATTTATATTTAATCAAACACCCTTTAAAATTAGACTTTTCCTTTAAATCATATTTTATTTAACCTTATGATTACTCATCCTTAGTATTTGTATAATATTTCATTTATTTATAATAACTATTCATTTAATTATTGCATATCCTTTGAATTATTACTATTTTCTCACTTTTATCTATAAATCTTTTAAATTAACTATAATTATAAAGATCATATTACTACCCTAAGTTAATTATCACATTTTTGAATCCCTTAAAATAACACTTTTATGATTTCCTAATTTTAGTTTATTTTTCGGATACAAAAACAGAAATTTATTTATACTTTTTAACAATTGAATTCTATTTTGATTTTATGATTTGATATTAATATTTCAAATTTTAACTATAAGATTTATACAATCTAAACAAAAATGGGCATATATAATGAAGTAAATTGTTACATTAAAGATAGAACTAATAATAATCTGTTTTATTAAGAGAATAACTCATTATTAAGACTTTCTTATATGATATAGCATAAAAATAATGATTAAAGTATTCATAATAAGTATTAAAGAATAATACATTATATTTGAATTAGAATGCAATTTATATTATTGTTTTATAGAATTCCATTTCAATATAAATTTGAAAACAGAAATTTCTAGAAACATAATTTGTGTATAAAATCGAGTTCCATTGATGCATATTATTTAGTTTAAAATTTAGAAATGTCAACAGAGTAAAAGAAAGAAGAACAATTCCACTTCAATGCAGATATCCAACAATTGATGGGTTTAATTATCAATACATTCTATTCAAACAAAGAAATTTTCTTGAGAGAATTGATCTCCAATGCTTCAGATGCTTTAGATAAGATTAGATATAAGTCTATTACAGACCCAGACAGTGCTGGTTTAAACATTGAACCAAATTTCAAGATCAAGATTATTCCAGATAAAAATAATAATACTTTGACTATTTAAGATACAGGTATTGGTATGACAAGAGATGAAATGATTAATAACTTGGGTACCATTGCAAAATCAGGTACCAAGGCCTTCATGGAAGCTTTGAGCTCAGGAGCTGATATTTCTATGATTGGACAATTTGGTGTTGGTTTCTATTCTGCTTACTTGGTTGCTGATAAAGTTGTTGTCATCTCAAAGGCTGTTGGTGAATAATAATACAGATGGGAATCATAAGCTGGTGGAACATTCTTTGTCTATGATGACTCTGAGAACCCAGTCTAATTAACAAGAGGTTCAACCATTATCTTACACATGAAATAAGATAACTTGGAATTCTTGGAAGAAAAGAGAATTAAAGATTTGGTTAAGAAACATTCAGAATTCATTGGATTCCCAATTGAATTATAAATTGAAAAGACTACAGAAAAGGAAGTAAGTGATGATGAAGATGAAAACAAGGAAAAGAAGGCTGAAGAAGGTGAAGTCTAAGAAGAAAAAGACAAGGCTGAAAAGAAGAAGAAGAAGATTAAGGAAGTTAGTACAGAATTCGAATAAGTTAATAAGAACAAGCCTTTATGGATGAAGAAACCAGAAGAAATCACCAAAGAAGAATATGCTAACTTCTACAAATAATTGACAAATGATTGGGAAGAACATTTGTCAGTCAAATAATTCTCAGTTGAAGGAGGTTTGGAATTCAAAGCTGTTCTCTTCATTCCAAAGAGAGCACCATTTGATTTGTTTGAAACAAAGAAGAAGAAGAACAATATTAAATTGTATGTCAGAAGAGTATTTATTATGGATGACTGTGAAGAATTGATCCCTGAATATTTGGGATTCGTTAAGGGAGTTGTTGATTCTGAAGACTTACCCTTAAATATTTCAAGAGAATTCTTGTAACACAACAAGATCTTGAAAGTCATCAAAAAGAATATCACCAAGAAATGTATTGAAATGTTCTAAGAAATCAGTGAAAATGCTGAAGATTACAAGAAATTCTATGAACAATTTTCAAAAAATCTTAAATTAGGTATTCATGAAGATTCAGCCAATAGAACTAAATTGAGTGAATTCCTTAGATTCCACACATCAAAGAGTGGTGAAGAATAAATTTCACTCAAGGATTATGTTGGAAAAATGAAGGAAGGTTAAAAGGATATCTTCTTCATTACAGGAGAATCTAAAGCTTCAGTTGCTGCATCACCATTTGTTGAAGCTTTGAAGAAGAAGGATTATGAAGTTCTTTATATGATTGATCCAATTGATGAATATGTCATTTAATAATTGAAAGAATTTGATGGAAAGAAATTAAAGAATTGCACAAAGGAAGGATTAGATTTAGATTAAACTGAAGATGAAAAGAAGAAATTTGAAGAATAAAAATCTGCCTTTGAAGGATTATGCAAATTAATCAAGGAAATCTTGGGAGATAAGGTTGAAAAAGTCTAATTAGGATAAAGACTTGATTAATCACCATGTGTTTTAGTTACTGGTGAATATGGATGGTCTGCTAATATGGAAAGAATCATGAAAGCTTAAGCTTTGAGAGATCCATCAATGAGCAGCTATATGATGTCAAAGAAGACATTAGAAATCAATGCTAATCATCCAATTCTTACTGAATTAAAGAAGAAATCAGATAAAGATAAGAGTGATAAGACAGTCAAAGATCTTATCTGGTTACTTTATGAAACTGCTTTACTCACTTCTGGATTTAGTCTTGATGACCCAACTCATTTTGCTAACAGAATCCACAAGATGATTAAACTTGGTTTATCAATTGATGATGCTGGTATTGAAGAAGAAGATGAAAAACTTCCATAATTAGAGGTATTATTAATAATTTATATTTTTCTTAGAAAAAAGAGGATGCTAACACTGAAGCCACCAAATCAAAGATGGAAGAAGTTGATTGATTTATATTCATTGTGTGTTTAAAATTATACAAATTGTATTAAAAATATTTAATTTGATAATGCTAAACAAGATTTAATAACAGTTTAATTAATGATGTAATATGGTAATATAATAATCGATTGTTAATGAGATTACTTAAAATTAATTATATATCTGATTATAATGGGTTGTGGTGTATCTAATGCTCATTAATTTATGAGATATTCATAAGAGAAGATAACAGAAAATGAACCAGGTTCTTTAGAGTAGAATTAAGGCTAAACTACTGTTAGGAGAAATGTAAAATATGCAAATCAGTTACTTATGATTCCACAACAAGGAATCACAACATTATAAGAGATGATTAACAATAGTGTTGCAAAATTTGGAAATCAACCATGTATGGGTAAATATGAAGGAGATAATTTCAAATTTATGTCATACAATTAAGTAAATGAGGAAGCAATCCATTTAGGAAGTGGGTAATACATTAAATTTATTTTAGAATTTCTAACTTGAATTTAGTGAAAGAAGTCCAAGAATATCAACACTATAAATTAAAATTGATTGGAGTCTTTGCAAAAAATAGAAGAGAGTGGATGATCTTAGATTGGGCTAATATCATTTATGGTTATACTATGGTACCTTTTTATGATACACTTGGTCCTGAATCAATACCTTTTATTCTTGATTAGACTAACATAGAAACCATGCTTATTAGTGGGGATGCAACTAAATCATTGATATAATGCAAAGAAAAGTATAAATTAAAAAACTTGGTTTTACTTGATCCAATATCAGATTAATAAACTTCAGAATTGAAAAACAAAGGATATCAATTGTTTAAATACGAAGAAATAGTTGAAAACGGAAAAAAATAAATTGTGCAACCTGCTTAAGTTTTACCTTCTACCATTTTTACATTGTGTTATACATCTGGCACTACAGGAAATCCTAAAGGAGCAATACTTTCTCATGGCAATTTCATTTCAGCTATTGCAAGTACCTAAGCAACTGATGCTGGAATCAATTAAAATGATGTTCATTTATCATATTTGCCATTACCACATGTAATGGAGAGATTAATTATACTTACTATGCTTTTTACTGGTGCTTGTATTGGGTATTATAATCAATAATATATAGATTTTATCGAGGTGATCCCAATTTATTGAAGGAAGACATTTAAAAACTTAGACCAACAGTCTTTGCTTCAGTTCCTAGATTATATAATAAGTTTTATGATGGAATTAAAGCTAAAATAAATGAAGTTACAGGCTTGAAGAAATCATTTGCAGAAAGAGCTATCAGAGTTAAATTAGAAAATTTAAGAACAGAAGCCAAATATACAAGTGGTTTATATGATAAAGCATTCCAAGGAGTCAGAGATTTATTTGGAGGTAGATGTAGATTAATGATCACTGGTTCTGCTCCTATTTAATAAGAAGTTATTGATTTTCTCAAAATAGCTGCTTGTTGTCCAATACTTGAAGGATATGGTTAAACAGAATCAACAGCATTATCCTTTTCTACAGGTGTATGGGATCCAAAGTCTGCTCATCTTGGAGGGCCTGCTGCAAATACAGAATTTAAATTAGTGGATGTTCCTGATATGAATTACACATCATTAGATGTTGTAAATGGTGTAAAAACACCTAGAGGTGAGATTTGTTTAAAAGGATATGGAGTTTTTTAAGGTTATTACAAGGACCCAGAAAAAACAGCTGAAGCTATAGATGCTAATGGATGGTTACATACAGGAGATATTGGTCTCATTACTGAAAATGGAGGAGTCAAAATTATTGATAGAAAGAAAAACATCTTCAAACTTTAATAAGGTGAATATATTGCTCCAGAAAAGATTGAAGCAATTTATAATAGAGTTTAAGGTGTAACAGAGTCATTCATTTATGGAGATTCCCTTTAAAGTTAAATTGTAGCCATAATTGTTCCTTCGAAAGAATTTGTTGAAAAATATGCAGCTGAAAAATAAATTCAAGGTGATTTTGAGTAGTTGTGCAAAAATCCAGAAATTATTGGTTTATTTTAAAAAAATGTTAATGACTATGGAAGAGCAAATAAACTTAATTCCTTAGAAATTGTATTATTTATATTATTTATTTTTTTAGGCAAAATTGATACATTTAGAACCTTAACCATTATAAACTTTTGGATGTTTAACATCTACATTCAAGTTACAAAGGCATATTGCCAAATAAGTATTTTCCAAACAAATTGAACAGCTTTATAAAAGTTAAGCCTGATCTATAAAATTATAAAGAAAAAATTATAATATTTATATTTTTGATATATTTACTATTATTTACTTCTATTTTTACTGTTAATAGCTTTTTTTCGATGAATAAAATTTTGATTTACATTTAGTTGTATATTTACAATTAATTCTTTTTTTATTAATATTCTCTTATTAAAAAATTAATACTGTTTTAATATTAAATTTTACTTTAATTGAAAAAAATGATATATCTGTAAATCATAAAAATGTTATTTAATTATTAATTTCATTTTAACTATTTTTTTATCTCTCTTCTTTTTTCTTCTTAATAATGAGATTAAAATTTATTGTTTTATAAAGTTAATGAAATATTTTTAATAAAAATAGTCATAAAAACATTATAAAATCATAACCTTAAGTTAAATAACTCTTAAGGGATTACTTAGTCAGATTATTAAAGAACTTAAACCAAATCATTTTTAAGTCTATTATTAATATATGCTGGTTCTAAAAGACTAATAGCCAATCCTCTTTTGCCAGCTCTGCCAGTTCTACCAATCCTATGAATATAGTCTTCAATATTGTCTGGGAAATCATAATTAATCTATAATCAAATGAGAATACTTACAACAACATCAACATCAGAAACATCCAAACCTCTAGATGCTAAATTAGTTGTGATCAAACAATTGATAGCTCCAGTCTTAAAATCATCCATAATAAAGTCTCTTTCAGCTTGTTTTAAATCACCATGTAAATATCTAGCTTTCAATCCATGTAATGATAAACGATACTCTAATTTTTAAGTGTCTATCTTCTTCTAACAAAAAATAAGTAATTTTTATCCCTTTAATCTTTCTGTTAATTCTACAAATTGTTCAAATTTATTTTCATAAATAATAATGACTTCTTATTATATATTTTTATTGACTGATAATCCTTATTCTCCAAGTTATAAGAGAATAGGATCTTAAATACATAATGAATTAGCCAATCTTTAGACTTCATTTGGCCAAGTAGCACTGAAAAATAATGTTTATCTATCTTCTCTAACAGCTTCTAGAATTTATTTAATTTATTCCTCAAATCCCATGTCTAACATTCTATCAGCTTCATCTAACACTACTTAAGTAATTGATTTCAAAGTTAAACCATCTTTCATAAAATCTAATAATCTTCCAGGAGTACCAATTATTACTGAGGGTAGATTTATTTTATTTCTTGATTCTTTAATACCTAATATTTCACTATATTATAAATTTTTGAAAACTCCTCCATAAACACAACAAGTTCTAGTAAAAAGTTCATATTGAGTTTAAATCTATTATGCTAATTCTCTTGTAGGGGCAAGGACTAAAATTCTTGGACCATGTACCTTTGGTTATGCTTGACAATGAATTATTCCTGGGAGAGCATATGCTAAAGTTTTTCCAGATCCAGTTTCAGCAATGGCAATCACATCTCTTCCTTCTAATATTAAAGGAATAATAGCTTTTTATATAGGAGTAGGTGCTGTTATATTTTTTGAGATTAGAATTTATTAATATTCTGCAGGAAGAAATTGAAAATCTTTTACAATATTGTTAATTTTTCCTTCTATCTTATTTGAATTAACAAAATCCTAAATTTCATTAAGATTAGCTGCTGGAATCAATTAAATTTGTTTTTTGATATCTGATATTTTATCTTATTTGAGTCGTTCACAATGCCTTGCAAATTCTTTAAAAGAAATATTAAATTTTTGTTTTGATGGACGCATGATCCTTACTCTGGGAGAAATAGATTCAGAATGAGGTGAAGTGGACATATTATAATATGTCGAGAGCCAACCAAATGGATGGAGATATCCAACAAGTGTTTTACGAAATGAATTATTTATCATTGATATAATTTAATTTTTTATTCTTCATCCAGATGATTATTTCTTACTTCTATTCATACATCCTAATGTATCAAGTATTGTATTAAAAAAACTCTTTTTAGGTGTTTGTTATGTTACTTATTATTCAGCCACTTTCCTAGATTACCTAGGTTTAAAGATATCGGTCATTCTGATTATTGCTCTATCTTATTACTCCAAATATACATCTAATTCATTAAATAAATCCAACCCTTCCACTTGATACTTGCTAAAATTTAACGAATGTACACTCAACACTGATTGTCTATACTCTTACCCTTGTTTCACATAAGGATGCTATAGAACTTCAGTAATGTTAAGTCTCTCATCTTAAGAAACTAATAATTTCTCAATCAAATCTTGAACTAAATCTGGGCAATTATATTTTCTTGGAATAGTAGGAACCTAATGATGAATCATTTCATAAAGAATTATTCCTAATGACCAAGTATCTACTTTGAATGAATATTTTCCTTAAGAAACTTCAGGAGCCATATAATCAATAGTCCCACATAGAGTATCTCTTTATTTATTATATCCAACCTCAGCCGACCATCCAAAATCACATAACTTAATCACATTGTTTTTTAATAATATATTCTCAGGCTTGCATGTTAATCCAATGTATTACCTTTAGATCTCGATGAATTATATTATTAGAATGTAAATAATAGATTCCATTGCAAATTTATGTAAAGTATTCTTAAACTTCATCCAATGTTAAATTTTTTTGATATAAAGAACCTCCATCTGCATATTCCATCAACATATGAACATGTTGTCTGTCTTAATAATAAGAATGCAACTTAATGATGTTTGCATGAACTAGTTTTTTATGTATCTAAATTTCTTTCTATAACTATTATTCACTTAAATCATTAAATATTCCTTTAGGCACCTCTATGTTACCATTATACATACAGTTTTTAAAGCAAACAGTTCCTCATCTTTTCTAACTAAAAAAACTTTCCCATAAGCTCCATTCCCAAGTTCTTATATTTTCTCGTAACCATCAAAATCTGACTAACAATATTTAGAATATAACATTCAAATTAGTAAATTATATGAAAAATAATACTCAAATACTTACTTTAACTAGAAGCTGTCTCTATATCATATCATAAAAACTAAAATTCAATGAATCTAACATCATAATAACTTCCCTTATTCTTCAATATTGTTAATAAGAAAACATATTTTAAACACTATCATTCTTAAATATTAATAAAATCCTTTTCTATTATATACTAACTCAAAATTATATATAATAAAACATTCAATGATCAAATTGATTGATTAATACACTTAATTTATTCTTATTTAATCTAATAAAACCTTTTAAGTTTAATAATTACTAAAGTTTGTAAAATAAAATCAATTTGCCTATTAATAAAATGATAAATAAATATTGTGTTTTATTTATTTATCCATTTAGTTATAAATTGATATTATAAGATTCATAAATTAATCACTAATTTTATAAGAATTATAAGTGATTAACATTTAGATAAAACTTCATTAAATGTTAGATATTTATTAAAATGAATTGTAACCCTTCATAAAATTACAAATTTTTATAATTTATTTTTAGATAACAAACTAACAAGCAGATATATAAAAAGATATTAATTTATTAAAATCTAAAAATTATCTTTTCTAAGATAAAATTTCTTTGATTTTTAAGCATAAAATTTTGTCAAATATTTAAGTTTTTATATTTCATTATTTTAATTTAAATATATTGTTCTATGATTAAATATTAAATAATGTGATTTTGTAAAAATTTAGTCTTTTTTAAAAGCAGTCTAATAAAGTAAGGAACATATATATCTATTAAAACCCAATCAGTTTTCTGATTAGTTAATATAATTGCTACTCCTATGTTTATTAAATTTAGTAGAATATCAAAATATTTTTTATTTTTACAGAAATTAATTAATTAATATAACTTATTTTAAAAAATTCATTAACTTTTTCGCATTAATATAATTGTTATATTTTCCCATAATTTTATATAAAGTACTTGTAATTTCTAGAGATTTCAAAAGCATCGTAATCTATAAATTAGAATAAATTTAAACTTAGAAAATAGCTTATTTTATAAAATAGTCAAAAATATAATTATTTTTTCATTTTGATTCATTACTAATAAAAAACAATAATCATTTATTTAAATCAGCATTTTTCAATTTAAGACTATTAAAACTCTATAAATATTTCATGATGTATTAATGAAGCTTTTTCAAAACTTAATTAGATGAGAATTTTATCATTAATATTTTTAATTAAAATTTAAAATTATTCCTTAAATTCGAAATTATACACATAAATACTTATAGGATAGTTGAAATAATTAAAAGCAGATGAAGTTTTATCAAGACGATAAGCAAAGCGACTCCTTTTAATAACCAATAATAAAAAAGAATAAAATATAAGTAATAATTAATTTATATATATATATTAAATAAACACCATATATATATTCAATCATTATTTCATCATTTGATAAAAATTAATTATATATCTTAATTATATTTGAATTACATCGTAATGAAAAAAAATTCTTTAGATCGCCAAGCAATATAAAACTTATTTGCAAATATTGACAATCAATTTAAAAAATAGCTCTTATCCACCAACTGTTTCTCTTTACACTAAATTCCAACATCAGAAGAATTAACTACTCTTTTTAATACTTTTGAAAAAAGTAATTTTAGCAAAAAAGGTGCATGGACCCCTAGCTAAGACAAATTATTAAATTTTGTTGTGTTTGGAGTATGTTTATCATATCATATACTTCCTCATGATTTAGTATAAAATATTCATATATTATAGATGATATAAGATTGGGAAAGAATATCTAAATTGATAATTAATCATAATTGGAAGGCCTGTAGAAATAGATGGCTTTAGGATAAATAAGCTAAAGCAAGTTGGACTTTGGAGGAAGACAAAGCCCTTATCTAACTATATAATTAATATCCAAATAAATGGTGTGATATAGCTATTGAATTAATGAAGAAATGTCAAACCCCTTATGCTAGATAAGGAAAATAATGTCGGGATAGATGGGTTAATAAATTAGACCCTAATATTAAAAAGTAAATCGTTTTTTTATAATTTATTTAGGGATCCTTGGACTAAAGAAGAAGAGTTGATGTTATTTTCAGAAGTAAAGAAAAAAGGCAAGAGATGGGCAGAAATCTCATTATCAATATTTTAATTAAGAAGAACTGAAAACACAATAAAAAACAGATATTATAATCTGATCAAGTAGGAATAAAATAAAATCAAATTGGGTAAAATGAGTAATGATGAGAAGGAATATTTTGTGATGAATAAAATAATTAAGGAACTTTAAGAGAAACTTTATTAAAATTAACATAATTGTCTTGATGATACTAATCAGAAACAAATAATAAGCTCAAATTATAAAATTTCTTAGTTTTCGTAACAAATTTGTAATATTGAATGTATTGTAATGGTAAAAGGAAGGAAATTAGTTAAACTTAATTGAACTTTATGAATATATTCAAATTTCATAATCTTATATAATATAATTGATCCTCCAGAAAAAGCAATTAGTATTAAGTTCGAATAAATACACAATATTTTCTGTTTAAAACACATAAAATACTTAAATTAGGAGAAGCTAAATAATTGTTTAAATTTAATTTATTTTTCAAAAATTTCTAACTTTAATCATAAATAAATGTAAAATATTCTTTGTTGCTGTTGATTATTAAAATATGATAATATTTAAATATTTCATTCTTCAAATTTCCTTATGATTCCAATATAATAATTGTTTTATTTTCAATTATTGAATATTCATTCATTTACCATACAAAAAATGGATTATAATAAAAAGATTTTATTATTCTTAACTAAATTCTGTATATTCATGATTATATGTTATAATTTTAGAGATATGAATGAACTTTTCAAAATAAATTAATTTATATTATTTATTTGATTAATTATTTTTTCGATAAAAAAAAAAGAATTAAAAATAAAATTTAATAATATCTATAATTAAATAAATTTTAAAAAAATACTCTATTGCTTTTTTTTTATCAAGAATGTAAATTCCTTATGTATAATCAAAAGGAATTTCTCTAAATCACTTTATTTAAAAGAATTATACGAATCCACAAACAATTTGTTCGAAAAAAAGGAAAAACCTTATTTATTATAAATTAATAAAAATTAATATACATCTCTTTAGTGCTTCTATAGCTGAATAAGTGTATTAAAGTTCATAGTTCTGAATAGGCAATCTATATAATATATTTATTATTATAGGGGACTATAAATATAATAAGATACTTATTTTTAACTCATTATTTTTTATTGCTTTATAATAATGTCATCTCAATAAGGGTAGGCAAGTAATGAATAAACCACAAATCGATCAGATATCAGATAATAGACTGGATAATTTCAGAGTTCAAATGAAAATAGAAGTGAAATAGTCTCCTAAGCTCTTCTATAGAAAAACGATCCATAAGGCCTAAATACACAATAATCAGCAGTCAGAGAAAATAGACAACTTTCATAAAACAATTAACAAGCACAAGAAATGGAGATTTTGAATATTAGGTAAGATAATCCTGAAGAAGAAAGGATAAATAATTAATAAATTATAGATCAAGTAATGCCTTAATTACAACATGAGCACATGGATTCTTTAGTCGATCTAATTGACCTTATAAATAGAAAATTTAACGAAGTTAAAAGATCCTCTTCAAAATATAAATATTATACTAAAATTATATTTTAGATACTTGTTTATATTTCAACAATATTGGAGCTAATATTCACTTTAAATTATGGGAATGCAAATAACATTTCATAATATAAAACATATGAAGGATTGTATTATTTTTCAATATTCCTAACTATATTACTACATATATATGTTTGGATTTACACATATAAATATATGAGTGTGTAAAGACATCATCTTTGTTGGGATCTATTGAATTATTTCTTTTATGCAATAGTAGGAATCTTAAGTTACGTAAAATTGTTACCATTTATTTTGTTTTATAGTAGAAACAAATAGATTTAATAGTTTTCATTCAGTTAGATAAATAAATATTTAATAATGACAAGTGAAGAAAGATCAGGAAATCCTTCTGGGTTGTTTAAAAAAAGAAATAAACCAGTAAATATTTTTAGAGATCTAATATTCCATCGTATTGCTTTGATTTCCATGATGATTACCTTTTTAACATAAACAATTCCAATGTTATTTATATAAGGATTTTTAAATGCTTCAACTGAAAGATGGAATGATTTTAATAATTTCAACTATTTTCTTTTAATAGCTAATATCATTTACTATCTAACTGAACTTTAATTTATTGTATTTACTACAACTTATCGTCAAATAACGGTTGATATTTAAGAGAAATTACATAAAATCGGAATTTAAAAAATTCAAGAAACAAAATAACTCCTTAAAGCAGATGAATCTTATCTTGAAAATGTAAAATCATTTTACTTTCAAGTAGATACAAGTAGATTAAATGATTATGAAAAAAGAAGGTGTATAATTTAAATAATTAAATTTATTTTAAGATTAAATGCTTAAAATATAATTGCTATTACAAATATTGATTCATATGATTAAATAGCATTATAATATTTGGCAAATGCTCTATACCATATAGAAATTAATCGGATCATATTATGTTATAGATATGATTATAGATTAGTTGAATTATAGAATACATTCTAAAAAGTTTAAAACTGTGAAATAGTTTAAGAAGATATGATCAATTTAGGATAAATTTGGAATAATGATAAACAAGAAGAAACCTAAGGTGAAATTAAAAGGTAGACAGTATAAGTAAGCACTCAAAGATAATCAAATATAATGGCTTAGATAGCAGGACACAGAAACTAACAGATTTCAAAAATATTCTATTTGATTACTCCAGATCAATAGCGGCAATAAATTATGTTATCTGATACATTAAATAGGTAGCTTACAGGAGGTGGACAAGAGAAAAGAGAAAGATTATAATAACTTTGGGGTTAAAGAGAAGATTTAGAATAAATTAGGTAATAAAATGAAAAAAAAATAAATGATATTACTAAACTTGTAATACTTTAAGAATAATTAGGATGTTTTAAAAAATTAGCTGATTGTTATGTATATTACGAAAGAATTAAGATGATGAACGTTTTCTAAGGTATCTTATAAACTATTATATCATTGCTAAATTTAACATTTTAAATAATGTAATACGTATATTTCATTTAAGTAGAAAAAAATGGATTAATTTGGGCACTCATTATATTGTAGATTTTAAATCCTATATTATAATTGATATCATTTGCTATGTTTTATGTCAAACTATTCAGGAATTCAGCTATTTATGAATCAATTTCAGTAGTTTTTCTCTTTTTCATTTTCAATCTCTTAAAAATTTGGGATTTAGTTATGAAGATCATTTTCCTTTGCTTTAGAGCACAATTAGAAAGTATTAATAGAGATTTGCTTTACATAAATGTCAAGGCTTACATTAGATTTAAGAGTTATGCAGCCAAATTTAAAGAAAGTATTGGAATTGTTGTTTTTAAGTATCCAAATACTGCTCTTGATGAAGAAAATTTATGGGTATTCTCTAGATCTCCAATCTATTAAGCTATTATATGGAGAACAAGTGTAGATGAAGCTTTAAATAAAATTCCTTAGTTTTTTATATATATATTAACAACAAATAAGGATTATGCTTGGGGTTTTTCAATTGTAAGTAGTGTAAAAGATGGTGTATTTGCTGTGAAAGATTTATTAGCAGTTGTTGTTAAAGATTTCTTTGTACCTGCCCTAATATTAAGAAAAGTATCTGTTGATTAGTTTTTTTAATCGATGTCTTATTTGAGTTCAACTTCAGAATCAATTTTATTAGAATATCCAAAATCATTTGCAATAGTGTCTAAATTAGATAGATTTGTTTTAAATTAAAGAAAATATAAAATTGATTTCACTTAATTAGATTATTCTAACTTTGAAGAGAAGAGAAGGGAAAGGTTACAGGCTTAATTTAAATTAGTATTAGTAAATATAACAGCAAGTATGGAAATCCTAAAAGCATAAAAATTTTTATATTTTGGTGAAGAACTTATTACAATATTTAAATGTTTATAAGTGAGTGAACTAAAATAATTAAAGTTAAATTTTTAATTAGATGAAGTTGCTCCAGAAAATCTTTGGCTTTTAAATATCATTTTATCTTATTGTCCAAAAATTCTACTTTAACAGTTGGAGATACATGTTGAAACTAGAAATGCAGTTTATCTTAAATTTAATGTAGAAAGAAAAAATTAATTAACTGGTTTTTGTTATTCTTACTATTAAATTAGAGAAATGATAAGATAAAATTAAGTACAAAATGCTGAAACCATTATAATTAATGAAAATTTTCTTATATTAGATAGATATGATTTTTAATAATTTTATCTGGAAGTTGGAGGATTTATTGATTTAACAAATTGTTAAAAATTTTTTAATAAGTTTATATAAGTCTAAACACTTGAAATATAACTATAATCTGATCGTATGGATTAAATTTTCAGTTTATAACAAAATATTAAGAGTCCTAAATTAAAGAAATTAGCATTGAATTTATAAAATATTTAATTAAATACAGTAGGATATACTTTAAATAACTTAATAGAGTTTAAATTAACTTTAATAAATTGTAAATTTGATCAAAAAGATTTACAAAGACTATTGCTTACAATGAATACTACAAATGGATGTATAATTCTGAATTTAAGGTAATAATAGTAATATTTTAGATAAGCTTATGCAAGAGAAAATGAAATGCAATAAATGAATAGGAGTATAATTAGATCATAGAGAAGTGGGGATTTTGGACTTAATAATTAAGAGATGTTCAATATACAGCAATAACTTTCATAAAGAAAGGTTAGAATGATTTATTTATGGTGAACAAAATGATGAACATTATTATAAATAAAAAATATTAATCATGATTTTCTTAATAGATATTTTTATTTAGTTTTATTAAAAAATCTTTAAATTTTCAATTCATCCAAAAACATATCTTATTAAATCTAAATATTTGCAAAAGAATTTATTCATCAAATTTTATGAATTATTATAATGAAAAATAATTATGATAAAAATGAATCACTCTTTCAAAGCAAACTTTCTTAATGCAAAAATTTTTAAGTTTTTTTAATTATCTGACAGTCTTTTAAGCTAATTTATATTTAAATATAACCAACTTTTTCACTTTTAGTTAATCTTTATCTGATTGCTCTTGTTTATTTACCTCTTAGATAAACAGGAAGTTTGTATTTCATTTAACTTAATATCTTCTTTATTGAATAATGATGGTTAAGTATTTTGCCATTTTCTTCTCACAAGCTGATAAAAAAACACTTATTTAATACTCCAATTCTATCAAGTTTCTATGCATTACCAACTGAATCTTTGACTGTTCTTCATTGAATGAGTTCTGCTTTAAGCTTTTCTAAATCCTTAAGAAGATCTTATAGTTTTTAATCTCTGAGTTTTCTAAGCTTGAACTTTTGTGACATATTTTGTAATTGATTTAATTTTTATTAAAAAGAAGGATCTTCTGATCCTATATAGTTAATGAAAATTTATTCAAATTTAATTATTTACTGTAGATCTATATATTTAAGGAATAAAATAGATCTTAGACTTAGTTAAGATAATTTATTTCACTCAGATACTAACTTAAAATAATCATCTGTTTATTATCGACTAAATGGTCAACTTATAATGGAAACATAAAAATATATGTTGCTCATTAATTAAAATTAATAATAAAAATATATATAAAATATTTTATCAATAACTTATTTTATGTTAAATTAATATAAAACTTTGATATTCTAATTTTTAAGAATTTAACATTATCACAAATTTATTAATTTTTAGATTGAATTTAAAAAAGAAAATATGCAAATATATATTATGTATAATTTCAAGAATCAATCTTAATCTTAATCTGAATTTTCTTCAAAAATAAATTTGTATAAGCATTTTAGATCTAAAATTGTATCCTCATATTCATCTTCTAAATCTTGTTATTTTATCATATCACAAATAGGTTAATATTTAAATAGGTCTCTTATTTCTACAATTAAATCTTCTTTATGTTGGGATAAAATTAAAATCTATTTTTTGAATATTTCAGATAAATCTGGCAAATACTCTTCTTTTATTATTAATTTCAATAATGGAATTGAATTAATGATTATTTTATTATCTTCAGTAATTTATTTATCAAATTCACTATCCATTTCCATACATGAAATGAAATATTATCTTATAGCTTTACATAATAACATAATTCCTATCAATTTTTAATTAAAATCAAAGAATAATTTACCATCAACAAACTTAAAATATTTCAAAATATCAGGAAATGCTATGTCTTTACTAGATATTTCTGATAAAAACAAAATGAATAATTGTTTACAAAATTCTATTTATTCTATTGTTAAATTTTCATTATTTTATTTTACTATGATTTCTGAATCAAAAAATTTAGTTTTAATACAACATAATTTTGTCTTAACTCTCTCTTATGACTTAGATGATTTAATATAGGATTCTACTTTATTCATAACACTTCCTACAAATTAAGGGATATCTTATTATTAATTAGGTTCTCCAAAAACATCATCTTTATATAATTCATTAAGTTTTTATTATAATGCCTTAAATTTTCTATCATTAATAACAAAACTTAATTGATCCAATTCATCAATTCTATCTAATACTAATTGAAGTACTGAATATAATACTGTTTCATCTCTATCCTCTATATTCTTATTTGAATGTTCAAAATTTAATTAATCAAGACCTTTAAAATCTAAATAGTCAAAATCATTCATTTTTAATTATTAAGCAATAGTTTCCATGCCTTACTTATCAACAATCAATTTCACTAATTCTACACTTGGTAATATATATATTCCTTATTCTTCTGGTCTATCTTATACATTATATCTGCTTTTCCTAAGAGATAAGTACTGTAGTACTTCAGGAATTGGAACATCAAGTTAAACGGCAGAGTATAATAGAGTTTTAGCTGCTTTCTTAATTATTTTTTAATGCAATAATTAAGCTTCACTACAACCACCATATTGATATTTATTAATTATAGGTCCAGTCAATACATAATTATTAATTCTTTCTAAATAGGCAATTATTAATTCACATTTCTTATCTGCACATTTTGCTTTAGCAGTTACTTTATCTTTTAATTATCTTAATTTCTTTTAAAATATAATTCCTGAACATGTTGCTATTATTTATTCTCTATGTTAATCTCTTTTCTCATAAACAAGTTTTATCATTTCTAAAATTAATTCTAATTAGTCTGTATTATAATTGGTTCTATAATTTTTTATTTAATCATCAGCACTTGTATTCTCTCCTACTTTTTACCATAATTAATTAGCTAAATCATCACAATCTTTTAAATATAGAGAATAAATATAAGTCTTTTATAAGATTTTAAAATCTTATAGAATTTTTGGGACTGCTACTTTTTTTTCAATAAGTATTGTTAAAGCTTACAATATTCTTATTCTACATTATGGCCATTTATATTAATAATCATCTCTTTATATAGTATCTTTAAATGTTTATGAATTCTTATTTTACTTTGATTATTTTTTATCTTCCTATTAAAAATCATTTACCATTTATCTAATATCTTCATCATCAAAGTCTTAAATTAAAGGAATAGATTTAAGTTTCTCTAATATCTCATTATTTTTTGTATTTTCTTTTACTTTTCTTCCTCCATGTTCCTTTTTTTAATAATCATTTTTTTTAATTTCAATAGATTGATTTTTATAATTAATATCTTCATTTTATATTTAAGGATATTATTTATCAAGAATATCTTATTGTTTTGCTTGTATTTTATCAGATTTATTTTTTATTTTATTTCTAGACAAATCTTCTGTTTATTATCCTGATCCTTAATTTTCATTACTAGAATCTGAATCTGATTAAGAATTATCATTTTAGATTTAACACTAATTTGTTAAATAGTGATATAATTATTCTTTACTTTTTAACATGAATTTTTAAATGTGAAATTTCTATATTAATTTTAAGAAATCTTAATAATCCTTCAATTCTGAGTAGTTTTAACTTTTAAATACTGGTAATTGATTTGCAAGCTATGTTGTGGAATTTAACATTAATATTTATCAAACAAATTCACAATGTAATATTTGGCAAAATTTTACAAGGATTTGAAACATTAATTAAGATTAAAAAATCAACTATATAAATGTAAATAATCAAATTATTTACAATCAAAATTAACAATATAAATACTAAATCCTTAAAATTGTATAATATTTTAACAAAATTCTATTAAAATTATAAATATATAAAATGTTGAATTTTAGTAGTATATTAAAACTATAATATAATTTATCTCTCTCTTTAATCTACTCAAACTTGAACCTAATGAAATATTAACTTTTACATAATATATAAACATGTCTATAAAATTATACATATTTTTCTAACTTAAAATTATTATTTTTATCTAAAAGTTATTTTTGATAAATTTTATATATTTTTTAGAAATTTAAATAATTACTGTTCAATATCTTTAATAAAAATTATCATATTATTATTCTAAATTTAATAGAACTATTTAATTTAAAAACAACCAAGAAAATTAGATTATTATCATTCTTGAAATCTTAAAATAATCATATTATGTAATAATAATGGAGCATAGTATTCAAAAGTTTAAGGATTAATAAAAATATTCACAATATTCCTTAAATTAAATTTAAATATCTTTATAACCAGGCTATTCATAAAGTGGTCTCATTTCCTCATATGATCCTAAACCTAGAATACAACAATTTTTAGTTGTTTAATATTTCTAATGTTTACTATCAATACTTATAGCCACATCAATATAATTTTATTAATTAAAATCACAATACACAATTTATTATTACTATAATATAATAATTAAATATATACATTAAAGATTTAATCAGGATTTTCAAATGTTGGAAGATTAATAAAATGATCTATGAATAATTAATGCAATAAAGTAACAAATATTTTCATAGCCTCTTTATAATTTGGGATTTTAGAAAATTAAGAATACCATTCATAAATAAGAATAACTCTCTAAACAAGAATTTGAATATAAACATAATCCATTTGAATTAATTTTGAAACTTCTGCATTTATTTATCTAAATATTTAAAACAATTTACCCTATTGTAACATTAGGTCTTAATTCAACCCTATCAGTTACAAATTAAGGATGACCTGGTAATAAATATCCACCTGAAGTTGATATTTTTTTAATAAATTATCTATGTTCATCTGTCATAGAATTTTTAGTCATAAACGGTATTTTCTTAAAAAGGGCAGTTATAATGGAAAATATTAATTTAGATTTAAGTTCAACTTCTTTATTATCAAAGATACTCCAATTTTTAGTAAAATATTTGTTTTTGTTACATTCAACAACAAACAATATAAAAACTTCTTTGTAGTTCTATTTAATTTGATAAATCAATTACAAATTCATGATCGAATTTATCAATTAATTACTATGCTTCAGTTTCGTAATACTCTTGTCTTCGTTGTAACCAAACTCTTTTCAAGTATTTTCTAAGCACTAAACCAATTCTAATATACCAAAATAATCCTATTAATTTTCTCCTTAATTTAAGTTTCTCTTCTTCAGTAAAAATCTTTTAATTATTCTTTTTTTTATTCTTCCCATTCTAATTTGAATTATAACTCATTTAACTATCATTCATAGAAGTTCTACTTATAGTTCTATGATGATCTGAATCATCTTAATCTCTAATCTTATTTTAATTTCTATCCTTTATTTATTTTTTATCCCTATTCTTTCTTTAATTATATCTATCATTTGTATGATGCTTTCTTCTATCAACATTTGAATGATGTCTATGTTATCTACTATTATTTCTACTATAGAGATCATCAGTATATTCACTTGAGTATGAATCTCTTATTTTATAATTAAGATCTCTATTGATTTTATTATTTTTTTAAAGTAACTCTAAAACTATTTTTTTATATGGATCATCATTATTAGATTATTATGGATATGGATACATGAATGGAGGAGGCATAGGAAAGTATGGATTCATAAACATATATGGAGATATCATTGGTTATTGTTATTGTTGAGGAGGACCTGGTAAATATTGTGGTATTATTATTGGATGTTATACAGATTATTTTGGACCTTATTCAATGTTATTTATTTATTTTCGTAATGTCTTTACTTCTTCTAATAACTATAAAGTGACTTCATCCTTTTCAGGTTTAGGCTATATGATAGTTTGATTGAATGAAGGTTTATATGATTCTGTTTTAGACTCTTTTACTAAATTGACAAGTTCTTTTATAGTGTCCTGTTATTATTCTAATTTTCTTCTTAAATCTTAAATTTGTTTGGTATCTCTAAAGCTCTTATTTTCTAATTCAGGTAATATAATGCGATTTGGTGTTTTAGACATTTGGTTTTTGTGAATAAATATAAAATAGTTTTAATAATTTCTTCATATATTTTTCTAAGTATAATTTTAACAATAAAATAATCTAATTCTGAATTAATTAAGTTACATACATATGAATTTGATATAAAGTTATGAACAATAAAATATTATAATAAAATGTATGAATTTATTAACAAATACAAAAATAAATATGTCGATTATGAAGACTTGAAGAATAAGGCTGTTTTTA